ACGCACCTCCCAATGTGGAACGATTGGTTGGACATAGTATAGACTATGTCCAACCAATCGTTCCTCATTGGGAGGTGCGTCATTATTTGACACGTGAATCCTGTGATTGTATTCGTTAGAATCGTTTATGAAGAACATTTTAGTAATAAAATTATTATGTAAAACCGGTGGATATATATTTGTATAACTGTATAATGTGATCAAAATATTTGCCGAATTAATCGTTATTGGGTTTATTAAATCCGGTTGAAACCGGTCTTAACATAAAAAAATAAACCCGGTTTTAAAATTCTAACCAATCAACCCCAATTTTTTTGCTGCGCCGATCAATTTACCACGTATAATGAATGTTTCTTTATCCTTCGTGCCGCTCAAGAATAGTCTTTAAAGTACAAACATAGCTTATATGGAACACATTCGCTATAACAAAGTGAGAAACATCGATGCAGTGGTGTTCGGAAAATATGAGATCGCGACTTGGTACTATTCGCCTTTTCCTGATGAGTATAAAGACATTAAAAAGATATACGTATGTCAACACTGCATGAAATATATGAAAGTCAAGGAAACATATGGTCGGCACACTGTGAGTTAGAGCGATTTGTTACATATTGTTTAAAAATGTTTAACTTACTGTGTTACTACTGCTAACAAATCATCTAAATAGTCTTTATGCGAATGGAAGTACCCACCAGGAGAAAAGATTTATGAAGTAGGCAGGAATAAAATATACGAGGTGGATGGAAAGTTACATAAGGCATGCTGACTTATGTCATTGTCACCTGATTTACGATTCGCTGTCAAACTCGAAACCCTTATGTTTCAATTTTTACATTTAGCTTTACTGTCAGAATTTTTGCCTGTTAGCAAAATTCTTTCTCGACAACAAAATGATATATTATGATGTAGAATCGTTTCTATTTTACATTTTGACAGAAGTCGATGATCGTAACGAAGAACACGTTATTGGATATTTCTCAAAGGTAAAAATTTCCAAAAATTGATAACAAATTAGCAACGATCTTATAAATACAATTCAAACAATTACTATTTTGTTCACCTGACAGGAAAAAATCTCGTATGACAATTACAATTTAGCTTGTATTCTTGTCTTCCCTCCCTATCAAAGGCGAGGGTACGGCTTACTACTAATAGATTTTAGTAAGTAGATACAAAAGTTACATTTCAAAAGTGTTTCATGTTATTATTAAAACTTAATCTTTCAACATCATTTATTCTATCATTGTTTCGTAAGGTTACGAGCTCTCCAAAAGGGAGCATAAAATTGGATCCCCTGAACGACCAATATCAGATTTGGGTATTAGGGGATATCATTCTTATTGGAAACGTACAATACTGAAAATTCTCCAAAAACATACAACCAATCTCTACAATGTTCAAGAGGGCACGGGTACTATTAACGGTGATGGAATGTCACATAATGACAATGGGAGATTTATGATTACCATTAATGAAATTTCTCTGATGACGAGTATTCGTAGAGAAGACATTATATATACACTTCACGAGATGGGGTTTCTTAAATACAGGAATCCCAATGTTAATAGCATTAATTATACTGCCGTAACTTATGATGTAAATAATCATGCTGTTAACGGTACTGAACAACATGACCGACAGCCACATAATAATAGCCCTCAACAAACACAATACCAATTACACCATGATGAGGAATTTGCACAACAAAGGCATCAGCAACATATTATATGTATTACGCGTAGAATGGTTGATGATTACATAAGGAGTCATGGTGTAAAACTTGATAATAGAACAGTTGATATTTGTGGTCTCAAATGGACTAAAACCAGTATGCCCCCAAAAAATTGAATAATGACCAAAAATGTTATTCGTCACGTTCGAAAATTATTCGATGTATATATATATTCCAACACCGCACCTTTTTCCACTAATTTTATGAATGTTATAAATATTGTGGCTAGAAATTTTTTCATAACAAATAACAGCTTAAGTACTCATTTAATAGATGAAATGAATGTAGGAGTGAAAAGGGTAGTGTACGTTGGATGCATTTAATAATTACGGAAATATTCCCAACACTGAATAAGGTAAGCTGAAAAATATTGAAAATAATGAATTAATACTAAGTTTTTATTGATAACACTATCTATCTATCTTTGTATCCTTTATACGTCTAAATGCGATCATTACTCTGAACATGATATACTTGTCATCAAGTCTTCGCATTCCATATGAGCATGAAAGGTAGCAAGAACTAATTTTTTTATCAAAATTGCATTAACATTTATATAATTATAAGTATATATCACCAAAAAATTTTAAAGAGGCTTTATATATTTCATTCATTAAATAGCATGTGTAGGTTATAACGAGATGCTATCTAGGTATGTTTAGCTATCCTTAAAATTTAAATCAAAATGTTGGATAAAATGTGAGCAATTAAACATACCTAAATGAAAATTCTAACTTCAAATTTCCAGTGAACAAAGCCAACTTTAAGCAAAATAGTCATGTTTTAGTTTATTGACACAACTCACGACGTATTATTTATTAGTGGCACATGTTGTTACTACAATTATCTTGTAGAAAGGAAGATAATTAGCATTTCGTAATCGAGCATGATGGAATAGTAGATTGATCATATAGTTTATTACGAGAGGCAGCTTTCCTAACCATTTACGCTATGTGTACCAACCGTTCAATGATAATTATAATGTTTTTTATTTAACCAGAAGCATTAAAGTAAAATTGTAACAAGGAACTATTTCGTACAAGATTTTGTTAAATACTCATGATGTAAAGTGAATTTTCTTAAAATAAGTTTGAGTACAACGTCGTGCAAAGCTAGTTATTTCTTACGACCGACCAGTTCAATTTTTGCAAGTTTTCAAAAAAATTATTTGGACCTTGTTACAGCATGGGTCACTTAACAGTCATATCTTTAGAAAAAAAGCGTAAACATGTCCAATAGTCAATATTCCAGTATATTTTTGACTGATATTTTAGAGAAAAAAACATGAATATGAACTATTAATTTAGCTAAAATAAAAATTGTCTGATATCGATATGACACTTATCAGTGACGTGTGCTTAATCGTCACATATTATTACTTAGACATCCGATGTGATTTTCGTAATATTAGCCAATAACACTAACAAGCTTAAATTAAGGGTGTAATGTAAAAGAATTATTAACACGTAACTTATACTTTCAAAATTTTAGATATAAAATTTTACAAAAAAATTTAAAATTTCAAGTATCAATTTTAAATTTTTAAATTCTAGAGAATTTAACTAAAATTTTTAAAAATTTCTATATTATATTATATATACTGTATAGTTTGTAATATGTATTTTATTTTAATAAAAAATTTCATATATACTATATTTAACTTTTAAGATATACAGTATATAACTAGTTTGTATTAAATATTGATGCTATGATCTAGAGATATAAATTTGTATAATTAAATTTTAATTATTTTTATTGGCCAAAGTATAGTGATAAACTTTTAGGAGCCAAAAAATTAGCTAATTTTTATAAAAAGGGAGAAGGTTAAAAAAAGCCAAAATCCATAAACATAAAACTCTTTCTGACGATCACTAAAACCAAGATTTCCCAAACAATTTTTGTAAAAACAGTAACTAGTAAGTAATGGAGAGCGTAAAACTGAAAGCCTTAAGTTAGCAGTTATTATTTAGAAGTAGTTCTTATACGCTACCTGCTAACTTCTTCAGAGTTTATCACTCACTGCTGGTATGGCACTTGTTGTTTAGAAGTAGTTCTTATACGCTACTTGCTAACAAGTTCAGAGTTTATCACTTACCGTTTAAGTACAGTAGCTCCTTCCCTTTCCTAGAAAAAGGGTTACTAGTTGTCGGTTCTTTCAAGGATAAAATACCCTTTTTGGGTGCTAGTAGTCCTTCCTTTAAGTCTCCCTTGGTCGATCAGTGGGTGCATAACTCTACATGTATACTAAATTACATAACTCTTTAT